TTTTCTTGCCAACTGATCCTGCATTGATGCTAATGCCCCTGTTTTGTATCTTTAAAAGTACTGAGTTGTTCCGTCAAAAGCCAAAAGGAAAATAAACCATGTTTCTCAGGCAATGTGAGGTGCTAACAAAGGACTCCAGCATTCTGAGAATTGTTTTTGATTAACAGGAAAGAACCAATTTTAGTTTCCCTTTTTTTTCTTCAAGGAAAAGAAATGGGTGTCTTTGTATAAAGAAAGGCACAGTTTTTGTTTGTTGGTTTTCAGAATCTGCCTTCAAGAAATTTCTATAAGAAAGTAAACATTAGGTAATAGCATAAGACCTGTTGTCTCAAAGTGAAGGAGAAAGTTGGCAGAGTTATGAATCCAAATACCAGTACCAAAATTCTTTGTTTTTTGATTGTCATTTAAATTCCTAAACATGACAGAATACTGCAAAATTAAAAACAGGTGTGTGTGTAGGTGTTCGTGTGTATATATGTGTATGTCTTTTGCTTAAAGACAAAATGGTTGATCATACAAGTTGTATTACTTCATACTGAATTAAATTGGGGAAAAAGTATGCTTCGATTCTACTATTCAGAAACCACAAAATAAGAAAAGGTTGGTGTGAAAAGAAATACTTTTCCCTTCCTCAATGTACATAGTTCAAATCTTTTCTTGTTATGTTTCAACTATATCCATATATGACAGTCAGTGTGTTTTTGGTTCCACTGCTGGTATGAAAGATGCAAATAAGACCATTAATTTGGCCCTTCCAAGTGGCTCTGTTGGTGCAGCATTGTCCTGTACACCAAAATGTTGCTGCTTTGATCCCTGGGCAGGGCACATACCTAGGTTGTGGGCTTGATCCCTGGCCGGGGCACATATAGAAAGCAACAGATTGATGTTTTTCTATTACATTGATGTTCTTCTCTCTGTCCCTCTCCCTCTCTCTAAAAAAAATATCAATAAACATATTCTTGGGTGAGGGTTGAAAAAAACATTAATTTGAACCAAAAAATATGTATGTGTGTATCCCTATACATTATATGTTTATGCGTGTATGCATACAGACAGGTATGTATACATACAGAGTGGGGCAAAAGTAGGTTATAGTTGTGAGTACTCAAAACACAGAGTTGATTCTTGTATTATTATTCATTAATTATTGTATTATTTTTCCATACAAACTATAAACCTGCTATTGCCCCACCCCATATATATATACACAAATATAAATATACAAGGTCTGTCCAGAAGTTATCCAGTCATGTAACATGAAAAATAGAGACATTTATTGAAGAAGGTACAAGATACCAAACATTGTACATAGGACAATGACACTTCAGTCCCCTTCAAAGTAGGCATCTTGGGACCTCACACAGTTCTCTCAGTTACCATCAGCTGTCCCATTGCATTTTCCTGAATCTCTCTGATGGTCTGACATTTCCTCCCTTTCAAAGATGATTTTAGTTTTGGGAAAAGTCAGAAGTCACAGGGCACCAAATCTGGGCTGTGGGGGAGCTGAGTCACCTGTATGATTTGATGTTTCACAAAAAAACTGCATGAGATGTGATGCTTGAGCAGGCACATTGCCACGATGAAGCCTGCTACTCACCAGTTGCCCATAGCTGAGGCCTTCTGAATCATCTGAATAGTTTTTGTGGAGGAATGTTCAAGTTGAACGCAAAATTTGATCTAGATTTATTGCTCTATTCATTCAGTCACTTTGAATGCGATGGCCACACAGTACTCATGCTCACTCAACGGTGTCTACTGTCTCCAATGAAGTTGTCATTGTTCATGCATGTGCATTCCAGTCCACTCTCCTTGGCTGCCAGGTTACATCAATGTCATCCAAACCATCCTCGTTATGTTAACAATGGCTGGACTTTTTCCGCACAGACCTTGTATGTATGTATATATCACGCATAATATATATATACATATATATATGGAAACCACATACTACTTATCAAAACATATCACATATTTTGGAAGAAAAAACTGATTATGAACACAAATCAGCAGATCAATTCTCCTGCCCGAGGGAGATTGGGGATTTTTAATGTCCTGAGCACCAATGCTTCCAGACTGTTCCAGCAGGCACGATACCAAGGTGGTGTCTCAAAAGGAAAACATACTTTTGTGGTAGATAACTGTATTCTTGGCCTCTGAAAGGCTGTGGCCACATTCTCAGGAAAAAAAATTGTGGTCTATTTTGCCAGTTATTTTATTTTTCTAGAGTAGGAAAATTCCCACCCTAAGGCACAGGAATTAACATTTCTAAAGAAAAAGGCCCTCTGCTCAAGACCATGAGGAGGGTGTTTGTCAACTTATCATCTATAATGACAACCTCGTCACGGTCCAGTCAGTATATTACTTTCTAGAATTTTCTGGAATAGAGCCTGTGTGTGTCTGTGTGTTTGTGTATGTCTCCAAATACCTACAAGTGCACGTGCAAAAATCCGGCAGAATTTAACTGCAGTTTCCATTAGCTTGAGTGAATAACCGTCTGATTCCTTCATCTCTCTCGTCTTGAGAATATTACCTTGCTATTACTTATCGTCCTATTTCACAGGCATTTGTAAATCCCTGCTCTGAATCTGGCTCTGTGCCTGGTACTGTGGATGTAAACATTATTTATAGCAACCCATGCCATCCCATAAAGTATTTCTGATATGTAAACCTGAAGACAGATTCCTGCCCTGCAGGAGCTTACAGTCCTGTTGGCTTTGCCATTTACAGAGACTTGATTCTTACAATTCATGTTATTTACAAAATGTCTGCTCTTGGTATGTAAATATTTGGATCCAAAAACAAAGTGCATAATTCCTCTCGAATCGGTTTTCATAATGGAATTCTCCTGTCCGGTGGCATGTCAACAGATATGGCTCAGGCCAAGAGCCACCTGGTTACACTTGTCTAAATACTGAGCCCACGACTACACAGGAAGAACAGAGTTCATGTTTCTTCAAGTCAGTAGCTCATTTTCCTCTGACATAGTAAAAAGTCGCTGATAAACTGGAAGAGATGAATATAACAGAAAAAAATGTGAAAATAGCTAAAAAGTGGAAGTTATGGTATGATTTTTTCAAATGGTAGACTTAGAAACTTCAGCTTCTGGCTTCAAAGATCTGAACACTACGTATTAGGCAATCTCTGAGGACAATGTGAGCATGACCCCCGGAATGACCCAAGATTGTCCCACTGCCCAAGTTGTAGCCCTTTTCTTAATGTGTTCTTTAATCTCATGGGTATGAAGATCCTCTGATGAAGGATCTTCATTTGACTTACTTCAGCATTAGTGCTCACAGCTTTTAAAATGTGGAGCTTTGGAGTCCAATCCTGGGCTATTGTCTGAACTGGATTCTGTATGGATAAATCCAGAGACGCTCCAGCCTTGGTTTTCACCATGAAGATGTTTGAGTCTTTTTTTAAAAAACAAACAAACAAACAAACAAACAAACATTTTTAACCAAAATTATTGTACCTTAGGTTGGCTTCTTCCAGAGTAGACTTTAAGACAAAGATTAGAAAGCAAGTAATTTCTTTGAGAAATAATCCAAAGAAAACATCAGGAAGGGAGTAGGGAAGAGAGGTGTGGGAAGGAAAGTGTAATGACAGGTTATTATAAAGAGGTTGTCACTGTGGGCCACTAGGGCTCTGTGTCACCGGGGAAATCTGGGAGACGGGGAAGTACATGCCTCGGGGTCATCCCACCTGAGGGGTGATCCATCTCAGCCCAGCCAAGAGGGGCCCCCAGAGGACAGTCATAGCTGCCTGCAGTCTGACCCCGTTGTTATGTCCCGGAACAGTGAGTGTCAAGGGAATGTGACTCCAAGCCATTTCCCTGTGAAAACTCCATTAAACCAATTTAATTCCTTGATCACTTTTCCATATGGAGTGGTCAAATGTATTCCCGCCCTATTCTTTTTTTCTTTTTTCACTTCAGTTCTACTAGAATTAAGCAATTAATAGTTTCAATATTCTAAGTTTTCTCCTGTGGCCATTATTTTTACCACATCCAATGTCGTCACCTCTACCTCTAAACTGAATTCTGCATACTTAGTCACTGTCATTTTTATTTTCATTGGATTGTATTTACCAAGAGTAACCGTGATAAATTAGATTAAGAAAAACAGAGTTCCACCCGTGTATTAGCCAGTCGCTGAGATCATGGTGAGCATCACCCCTCAGACAGAGTAAGATCGCTCTGCTGCTGCCCAGGGCTGTTGCCACCCAGCCTGCTGTCACCCAGCTCTGCCTCTTCCCGGTTTTGTGAACTTTAGTGATCTTATGGGTTAGCCTCCTTAAGCTTCAGTTTACTCACAGGCAAAACTGTGCTAATAATAGAGACTTTCTAACTTCTGGTTAGGGATCAGGTAACGTAAGTTGTTTAGAAAAATTTCCAGCCTGTGGTAAATGTCCAATATGTGTTACTTATTATCATTGTTGTTATTTAAGATCATTATAATATGCCAATTACTTCATATACTGCTGATCATTTTGCCAAAAGTATACTCACCATTCACGCTATTTGTAAAGAGCAAATGGTTGTGTCAAGACGACAAAGCGTCCCACTCTGTTGGTAATAGTACTTGCTTCATAGGGTTGTTGCTGGTAGGAGAATAATAAAACAACATGTTTAATAGCCTGGTACACAGTAGGCACTCTGCACATGCTTTTTCCCCTTTTGCTTTCCTTAAGGGATGTGCCTTGACTCTGGAGGATGGGAGAGGTAGTGTTATGATGAGTTTCTTAAGCATGTCTAGAAGGTTGGCCTTCCTGAGTCCAGAAGGGTTTGAGAGCTACTGGTTTACGTGTCATATTAAACAATTACAATGCAGTTCCAATATCCTTTCTAAATGTCTTAAAAAAGGTACAATTTGCTATAATTATTTTTATGACTCTCACTCTGCAATTGGCATTTCAGGATGCACTGCGTGCTATTTACGATGATGAGCTCACATTGTTTCTATAAAATTTGTGGATGTGTTTTGTGTTTTTGTCTTTTTTAGATCTAATTGTGGGTGCATTTGGAACAGGAAAAGTAGCTGTTTATAGGTATGTGGTTGGTGGTATGCAAATGTTGTTTTTCGTTGAGATATAATTGACACACAACGTTATCCTAGTTTCAGGCACATGACGTAAGGAACTGACACTGCACACTGTGACATGATCACCACAGTGAGTCTAGCTGCCCTCCATTGCCTCACACAGCAACAGATTTCTTTTGCTGGTGATGAGAACTTTTAAGATCTACCCTCGTAGCAACTTTCAAATATACAACACAGTCTTATTAGCTATAGTCACCCTGCTATTACATTGTAGGACTCATGTATTTTATAATGGGAAATGTTATAAAGGTTATAAAGGTTTTAAAGGTGGCCTTTTGACACCTGCACCCATTTTGCCCGTGGCCCACACCACCCCTGCCACCTCTGGCAACCACCAATCTGTTCTCTGTATCTACATTTTTTTAATTCTTTTATTTTCTAAATTCCACATGGAAATGAGATCACATGGTATTTGTCTTTGTCTGAATTTTTTCACATAGCATAACGTTCTCAAGGTCTTCCATGTTGCTGCAATGATAAGATTTCCTTTTTTGTAGCTGAATAAGATCTTATTATATATATATACCACATTTTCTTCCTGCATTCATCTATCAATGGATGTGTTTTTCTTATTGTTTGAAATGCATTTCTTTTCGTTGTTGGTTTTGCCTTAAAGAGTATATCCTGACCATTTATTTGGAAGAACATTTAGATGTTCTTTTTAAAGTTTGGAGGGATTTTTTCTCTCATTTTTTTCTCTTTCATTTATCCTTGTCTTTTTATGCTTGTGCTTGATGACCAAACTTCCAGTCCCTACTAGCATACTGTTAAATAAAATATGAATCTTAGCAGAACTTATAAAACAAAACATTTTTAGATGCTACTGTATTTAAATGTTCCCCTTTGCTTTAGAAACGCATCAGAATGTGCTTATAGAGAAGGAATGTGGGGTGGGAGAATGTCACTCTGTCCCTTAGCCTCTATAATCAGGTGAGGGTGCTAAATTTGGGAACAGAAAATACCAGGAATTCATAGCCTCCACTGGCAGGCATTGAACAAATGCTTCAAAGTGTGTTCAAATGTGAGAGGTCTGGCTCCAGATGCCTGGACATTCCCATACACTCATAGCTTGTCATCTTGGCCTCGTTCCTATAGCTTTCTGGGCCTCTGATTTTTCATCTGTAAAATGGGGATAATAATATTTATTTTATAAGGTTATTTTTAAAAAGGATTAAGTGGGAATCTGTGTGTAAAGTACACAGAATAGTAACAGGTAGACAATTGGTGCTGAAAATTTTTAGATTCTCTTTCTTCTTAGAAAAGTATTTTATGGGAATGAGAGACACTAAGTCAGGATAACAAGGCAAAAGGAAGAGAGCCAACCCATGTGTTCTGGCTCCACTCCCAGGCAGAGTCTAAAGTTGGGATTCCTCAAGTAGGTAAGATTTTCTTCTTCTCCAGTTCCCAACACATACTCAGAGTGCTGACTTATACCAGCCACTGTCCACTTCAGGTGACAGAGAATCAGATGATTGAAACGCCCAAAGTACAGCAAGGATGAGGCTCTGTTTGTTGTGGCCACGAGGACGGGCCAATCAGAGCCCATGGAGTGAAACTGACTGGCAGTCCTCCTGCTATCCTCTGAATCTGCCAGCACATTCGCACCAGGGTCACATGCCCCATGAGTTCTCCTAGCCCATTGCCGGCGCAACAGCGGTTGTGCCCCTTCCCATGAGACATGGAGCTCCCCTGACAGGCAACTTTGGCCCCTTCCCACCCCGTGTCCAGCTGGAACTTCCCATGGACTTCCCACTTCCCTCGCTCCTTCTCAGGGATCCTTCCGCATCACAGTCTGACCACGGACTGCAGCCTCCTCCACTCTTACCCCTTCTTTCCCTCATGGATGTCTGCCCCCTAAATGTCTTACATGGCTAATCCTGTCTCATTTTCCAAGGACTGGAGCTAACACAATATTGAAAACAAAACTATGTCATAGAGCACAGATAAATAGGGTAACAGAGTTTAGGGAAATTCCCAGTGGGCCCCCTTGCTGTAATCATGAAATTGTTTAGTGTCCCAAACAACACTCGGCCCCAAGGCACAGCCTTCCCACAGGTCAGAGAAAAATGTAGGCAAGGCAGTATCGTTTCCTGTTGCCACCTGAAGCCTGGGCTCAGGCTTCCCGGCTATCATTTCGTGGAACTGAGCTTTAAAAATTGTCCTGTCCCCTTTTCCTATGACTTATACTCATCTGGTTATGGGTTGTGGGAATTGAGTTTAAATTAGTCCCTCCCCTAGAACTTGGCTGCACATTAGAATCCCCTGGAAGGTTTGTTGAACATTCCAGCGCTTGGCCCAGACCCCAGTGATCTGACTCAGTTTGCCTGTGGTGGGGCATGGGCATGCCACCTGTGTTAAAGCTCCTGGATGCTTACATTTTCAGTCAGGATTGAGGACCACTGTTCTGTGTGGAGCTAAATCTGCAAAGCATGGCTAGAAAATAGCAAACTAAAAAAAAATCATTGACCAATAGTGAGAAAAATTGCAAAAGTCAAGTACTTACCAACACAAATGATTGTAAGATGATGTATACAGATACAGTAGCAGACCCTAGAGAAGCATTTCGTGACAGTCTCACCAGGTACCATGAACCCACTCCATACGCAAAGCAGGTGTGTGGTGACTTTTTTTGCCGGGCCCAGGAAGCACATCCTGTGTTTGTATTCACCAGCTCCCAGAGGTAATTAGTTAGGTCTGATGCCCACCTGTTCAAGTGGTGAGGCAAATTCTCGGCACAAAACCTGGGAATGTTGGCAGTGGCTGCTAGAAGTGGGGTGGGCTTCTGCCTTTGGCTCCTGTGGCTCATCGAAATCCTGTGTTTTCTCCCTGCAGAGCAAGGCCGGTGGTGACAGTGGATGCCCAGCTTCTGCTGCACCCGATGATTATCAATCTGGAAAATAAAACTTGCCAGATTCCAGAGTCTACCACCTCTGTGGCCTGGTGAGTTAGTCCAGCCAAATCTCACAGGGATTTTGTGAAGACGCAGCTTCTGGGTATGTCGGTCTGGGGTGGGCCCTGAGACTCTGAGCTGCTGAAAAAGCAAAACAAAAAGACTCCAAGAGGATGCTGATGCTGCAGGTCTGTGCACCAGATATGAGTAGCAAGCAGTAAGTCTTTCAAAAAATAAATAAATAAAAGCCAGGATGCTGACATGATGCTGATTTTTTTGCTGTCAACTTATCACATGAAGGCTACCTCAGCCTGCAGTCTCCAGGTGAGATGAGAATTACAGGTGACTCTTGAACGACGCAGGTTTAAACTGTGCAGGTCCACTTAATATGCTAATTTGTTTTCAATAAATATAGTTGGCCCTTTGTGTCTGCAGGTTTTGCATCCTCAGATTCAACAAACCATGGATCAAAAATTATTTTTGCATCCCCAACCACAGATTCCCAACTGCAAATCAGAAAAGGTATTTTTGCATTCGTGACTGCAGATTCCCAACTACAGAGTTAAAACACTGTTTCCATCAGTGGTTGATTGAATCTGCAGATGTGAGGGGCTGAACATAGAGTCAGAAGTTATACTGTGTGGTTTAGAAGTCAGCAACCCTACCTACCACCTATTGAAAGGTCAGATGTATAAAGACATTTGGGAAAGTTCCCAATGAAACAAATCTTGGAGATCTCTTTCAGATTCTTGGCATATTTAAAAAAAATTAACCAAACTGAAAATATAATAAAATACCTTGACTTTTGCTTTTACATATAGTATGGATACTACTTTTCAGACATAGTACCAGAGGGGACCCAGAAAAAAACCAGAATTTATTTATAAAAAAATTGTGTATTTATTCTTACATGTTTAAACTTCAGTCACCTTCAAAATACTCTCCATTTGATGCAATACACCTATCAAGGTGTTCTTCCCACTGCTCAGAACAGTTTTTGAACTTGTAGATTTTCATACTTTTTAGTGCTTCTGCCGTGTTTTGTTTCATCTTTTGTGCACCGGTAACATGTTTCTCTCTGAGGACTTTTTTCATCCAGGGAACAAACAAAAAAATTGCTTGGGGCAAGGTTGAGTGAATAGAGAGAGTGGCACATGGGGGTCACTTTGTTTTTGGCCACTCAGATTGGTGTGGGCAGGTGTGCTCATAAGTCACCCATCATGAAATGGGCAAACACATTGAAAGAGTCTTCAAAAAATTCACTGAAGCTGAACCAGCCTCTCTCAACAACACCAGCTGGTATACTGATACAGATGGGCTCCTAGAACACTCACCTAGCGGGAGAAGCCGGTACTACAAGAGGCCTCCCTCATAGTGTCCTTTTTTTCTTCAGTAGTCAAGCTTGGGTTAAATTACTCAATTTCCTTTGCTGAAAACAGCTGTCAGTTTTCTAACTTAGCACGTACAGTTAGACAGAAGGTAAACATTATAAAAATAGAGATTTTTGTGTCTGAAACTCTTTTTTGTGGCCATGATCTCATCATCAGGATAACAGGAGAATTATGCTTCCTTTGCCTGGGCCATTAGAGAGCATGGCTTATACAACTTCTGAAAGAAAGGGTTGCTTTGGATCTCGCCAGTGATCCAAAGAGAGTGCAAAATGGAACTTGATTTTAACACAGCCTGAGAAAACGCCACCTTGTCTTTGATGTGTCTATCCTCCTGGGTAATACCACCAGGGTATATCCTCTGAAAGAACAACAAACACTCGGTGCGTTTGAGATTCACACTTGTTTCCCAGAGATGTGCATTGACTCAGACAGTATGTTTGGTTCCTGAGAATGGAGTCTTGACCCCAAGAAGTTCAGTGTTTCCAGCCAGTTTTAGCGTGCTGTTGATCGCCTTTGGCTAGGAATTCATAGTCAAGTCAAAGCCTTTGTGGGTGGAGGGTAGGGCTGAGGAAGACCCCAAAGAATTCTTTGAAAAACATTCTTTGCTGGAGCTCCCATTCTTAGAAGCCTGTCCTCTCCTTAACCAGCTTTTGAAAATAGCTGGGGAATGCCCTGAGCACATTTTAAAATGGTTGAAAACCGTAAAATATTATCATGAAAACCTGATCTGAGAAAATAGGTGAAAGAGCTACCACCTACCCTTAACGCCGGCATGATTAAAGAACATGACAGGAGCTGGGAGAGCCGTTCCGGTGCGAGTCTGAAAAACTCAGTATTTGCCCCGATGGTGCTGTGTTTGCACCTTCGTGGCCGAGTGGGCTCCAGGCTGAACTTCTCTGAGCACATGTTTGTGGAGCGCTGTGATATAAAGTGTTGTTTCAAATTAGGTCGTTTTTTTCCCCAGGGTTTTTAGTACAGTATTTTTTATAAAATTTAAGTAGCTTTTACAGATTATGTGATCTGTTTGGTTTTATGGAAAGAATATTACTTTGTAACAACGAAATGTCTTTCTTTTCATACACCATTTTCCTTGTTGCATTAAATCATGTTATTAAGATAAAATGCAACTTGGTATATGGACAGATATATGGAATATGCCTTTGTAATTATTTGATTCTGTTGCATATATTTTCTGAAAGATGTTTCATTTTCACATTCAAAAATTGTGGATGGTGGCTTAGAGCATCAGAAGATGAAAGCTCATAGCTGGTTCAGTCTAGAATGAGTTTCTCTTGTTAATTTATTCTAAGAATTTGGCTCAGTTTTTCTAAAATGGTTGAAAAGCATTTGTTGATTTTGTTTTTTGTAATTTTCATCTGTATTTGAAATAACTTTGTACTGTACATCTGAAAACTATTAAGTACACTCTAACTGGGAAATAGTTCTTTGCTTCCACTGATGTCAATTTCTGCATCTTTCAAATAGTGATGTAGTTGTATAAAGTGCCCACTACTAGAATTTCTAATTTTTCATTTTATAAATTTAAAAGTCCACACACTTCTCAAATCTGAAAAAAAAAAAACTTCACATATGCCTAGCCTTATGTGAAGTATAGTATTTGCTATGAATGAAATAGGATTGAATTGGTCAGATGGAAAAATGAATCGCTTAGATCCTGGTTCACATTTATCTCATTCTTTCTCCATCACCTGTGGCTATGAGCACTGTTGTATCACAGAATCCTTGTTCCAACCATTATTGCATTGGGTTGGTATTTGTGTTACAGGGTTTGTAGTGAGTTGTCCTGCCTCTGACTTATCAGAAGCACTATAGACTGTTTCATTCAGCAATTTATGTGATGAGGGAGCTGAGTTGATCTTTTTTTGTTCCATTCAGAACCACTCATGCTATCATGCACCATATTGACTAGGAACATAAATTCTAGTTTGAAATTTTAACTCAATTAATAATTATTAATAATAGTTCACAGCTTTCTATGATAACCAAAGGCTTCCAAAAAAGTTAGATGCAGAAAACCAATTCCAATTTTGAAAGCCAGACCTGCTAGGTAATTTAAAGATGTGATTAACTGTTCATCTTCTCGGAATATATCAATAGAAGTAGAAGTGGGCTGGAATTTGTGATTTCTCTGGGGAAGTGGTAAAAACACTGTAATAACAGAGAAATCTCAGGAAACTTTTGGCTTAATGGCATGTGGCAAATTATTTACCCTGAAGGGAAACGTTGACTGAGGTCACGGTAGATAGATGAATCCCAGATGTGACACATTTTCATTGTTTGACACAGGAAGCTGATACATAATTAATGTATGATTAGGGATTATTTATTCCTTTTGGATTCTGTAGAAATATTCTAATCATACTATATATTTACTAGCAAAAATGTTAAGACCATCATTAAATCATCCTTAAGTATTTTGTTATATTTTTACTTTCTTAGAAATGTGAAAAAGACCCATCTCAAAGACTGGCTGTTAGGGTTTTTCAGGAGGGAGCCGAGCACATTCGGCCAAGTCAGGCAGAGCCAACTGGCCGTTTTTGTTCCTTCCTTGGCCACAGAACAGGCCCGAGTACAGGTCAATAGGTCATCTTACGAGCCACGGCAGACACCGCTCTGGAGTATACTCAAGGCAAAACTATAAAGTGTCTCTTTTTTAATTTAAATATTTCATTGTTTATGCTACTACAGTTGTTCCAATTTTTCCCCTTTTGCCCCCCTCCACCCAGCCCACCCTCCCACTTTCTCAGGCAATCCCCACGCCGCTGTCCATGTCCGTGGGTCATTCATTTACATTTAAAGTGTCACTTGTGCATACCTGCCTCTTTTTATTGTCTTTAGACGTCATTTCATGTACCTGCTTAGCTTGAGACAGCCACTCTCTGCTCCTTATGTTTGTTTCTTCTCTCGCCATTCCCTCTTCTAGTGCTTCTGCCTGACATTGTATCCCACCCCCCAGCAAGTTACTACCGAGTTCCCTCTCCTTCCCAGAAGAGTGGGGGTGTGGGTTAATCACACCATGGTGCTCCATGCCTCTTAGGATTAAATCCAGATTCTTTAACATGAATTTCAGAGCCCTGTCCCCTACAGATCTTCCCCATCTTGCTGTAATGCACAAACCACACGAAATTTCTTCACGTTCCTCTAATACGGCACGTTCTTGCTCATCTCTGGGCTCTGCCATTAGCTGTTCCCCTGCCGTGTTGCCCAGTTCTTCACTGACTGGCATTTGGAAATATTCATGTGTTGAATAAAGGCAGCAAGTACTTGATTAATCAATCCATCATTAAATCAGCTAATCTCACCAGTCTTTTTTTTTTAATTGGATGTATTGGGGTGACATAAATTAATAAAATTATATAGATTTCAGGTATACTATTCTACAAATATCTGTATATTTGTATTGTGTGTTTATAATTAGTCTTAATTGTATTAGTGTTGTGTTCAACTGGTAGGATATGTATATATATGTTTTTTATAAAAATATATAGATAAATATATGCATATTTATTTTTTTAGTTGTATGTGTATATTAACAGAAGTATAGAGGAAAACATTGTATTCATATACCTGGGGTACGGTAAAGGAAGAGCTCTACTCCAAATTAAAAACTTTATTAACCAATACATTATTGACTCTTGTTTTCCATAGCTTTTCCTTAGGAGTGTGTGCATCTGTAGAAGGCCAGAGCATTTCAAACACAATAGGTGAGCATGTCTTCATTTTTATAATCCTCTAATATACTAAGAAAAGACGACTGTAAGCATTTCTCTGCACACACCACATAAAACTTTTAATGAGCCCTTTAGCAATACCAAGATCCATAGTGTGTATATGGAACCTCCTATAAAAACATTACTCAAATAATTGGTATTCATATTATCTATAAAAACAGAAATAATTGTGGGGGAAATGACCATTTGTTTTAAAAACAACTTTTTTAGTTTGGGGAGTATTTCATAAAATTTTTCTCAGCTCCTGTAATGTTTCCAATCCTAACTATGAAAATAATGTTTCCTGCTGAGCAAGATGAAATACGAACTCATGCTGCTGATAAAACACTGCATTCACTGAATGCTTCTCCTTTCCCGGTTACACTTACTTAATTTCTGTTCTCTAGGCCTGACTGCTGAGGTGCAGTTAGATTCCCTGAAACAAAAAGGAGCCATTAAACGCACGCTCTTCCTTGATAACCATCAGTCACACCTCACCTTCCCTCTCGTGATCAGGGGGCAGAAATCCCGCCAGTGCCAGGACTTCATGGTCTACCTGCGAGTAAGTGTTCCAGCGTCACCTCGCTGGCCTCTCACACTCAAAGCCCAGTTCCAACCACTTTTCTCCATTTAACCGTCACACTTGTCTCACGTCTATTTTCGTGTTATTGGAGGGAACTTCATGGTAAGGCCACACACTCGCATCTCCAGCCAAACGGCTTTCTGATAATCCAGGGACATGTTGCTCTTCGTTCCCATGGCTTTTTTTAGCTTTGCTCACGGTGTTGATAGTAGCACTAACTCAGGTGGTTTTACACTTCTAACTGCCTCCCTGGCAAAAAAAATTATTAAACACAATTTATGTGAACTTTTGTCCTATGTGAGTATGTTTGGCCAGATTTTATCAATGTGCATTTTGGAGCCAACTCAGGAAAATGTTTAGGCACTCAAAGCCTTTATTAAAGTCATTTGTAATTATATTTTTAAAGCAGGGGATTTTAAACAGTGAACCCAAAAGTACTGTGAAATTTAAAAGGCCAAAATCTTTATAATACCATTATTTCATCTTCTTACCAGTTGTGAGGTTGTTGTTACTCTTATTTCATCTCCTCCTTTAGTGGATTGCATTAGTAAGGGAAAACCTGGCAAGGCAAAGACACCCTAGGAAGCTTGGCACATGACCCTCGAGTCTCAGCGTGGCTGGTGCACAACTGAAGGGCGGCATGTGCGCCACATGGAAGGGGGCTGCTGCCGCTGCTGCTCGCCTCCCGGAAGGGACTTCACATGTGCTGAAGATGTTTCAAAGTTCATGCTCGCGAGAGCTTAAAGGGATGATAACAGAGGAAGAGAATCAAGATGTTTCCTTCTCCTGAGCCCAAGAGGACTCATGAATGGACTCACAAATTCTGCCAACCTCATGAAAATATAAATCCCAATTTGCGAAATTTTCAACATTTATTGCATATATGACTTTTTTTTTTTTTTTTACTTTGCGATTCAGCCAATCAATGTGTTTTGCAGATCTGGAGAAACTGAAGTTTACCTCTGTAAGTGTGCATTTCAATGAAGCCAGGGCTCTGAATGATTCATCTCTGAGCACATGTTAATTAAGCTGGCCACTAGAACCACATCAATCAGTGTGTGCTTAAGCTCTCAGTGGTGATAATTAGTTCATCATTCACTTTCATTGAGTAAAGTCAAGTGCCTCTTTCACAGACTAACATGCTGCAGCTAATTCACAGAGCCTTCCTTGAGCTGGTGATTGTTTTCCCCAGGATGAAACTGAATTCCGAGATAAATTATCGCCAATCAACATTAGTTTGAATTACAGTCTGGATGAATCCACCTTTCAAGAAGGCCTGGCAGTGACACCAGTATTGAACCACTACAGGGAAAATGTTGTTACTGAACAGGTAGGTCCCCGAGGGCCTTTGGTGGTGTCTCCCTGTTCAGGCCCTGAGCGCGCTCTGTCACCCCGAGGTAGAATCGAGCCCCTTTTGTCTTTGTTCCTCCATTTGCACCAACATGTACCATTTGGTCGATTTTCCTAATGTGTTTCCTGAAACACTGCATTATTGTGTTTTCGGAAACCTGCCCCCTTGTGCAACCAAGATTTAATTTGTTCAAAATGTGGCTGTAATGAAAGCAATACAGCCTGTAATCCTCAAAACATTGCCAGAGCCACATTCTTTACAGACATCTCAGAATGAATTGGAATTGGGCTAGTATGTAAACTAGATGATATTGGGAGGTCGCTGCCTAACGTGGGGCTTCGAGCTGGTTAGGAGCGCGCTGAGTGAAACGAAAGCCCAGGTTTAATTTGTGGAACCGTTCATAACGCTCAAGGAGAAGGATGTGATTCAGGTTTTCCGAGATTGCTCCTGATGTGTGTTTGCCCGACCCAGGCTCACATCCTGGTGGACTGTGGAGAAGACAACATGTGCATTCCTGACTTGAAGCTGTCAGCTAGACCGTAAGTTTAAATAAATAAACTTGTACATTTTATCTAATGGAATACAGGTGTTTGCTTAAAGCTTCTCTGTTGAAAGTATACGCTTCCAAATACTACAAAAAAATACGCTGCATGAAATTCTTGCGCTTGGCTACACTTTAGGTTAGCCTGTGGTTTGGGTCACTTCTTTGTCATTGGTGTCAAGTGACGCACCCCAAGATTTCGCCTGGGCTGTTTCATCTTTCAGCAGAAGTGAAAAAAAATGTTTTTGTTCAAAGTAAACTCATCTGTGGGGTGGTTCAGGTTGTATTTACTTGGCTTGGTTCTGTGGGCACAGGATTCAGAGACAGGCAGCTTCCATCGACACCTTGGCAGAAACTTTTTTCACAGCACTCCGTGACCCAAAGACATCCTTAAAACTGTCAAAACAGACTCAAATTTAATTTGCTGGGAAAAAAATGTAATGGCACTCTATGGAGTAAAGCAGAAGGTGTCACAAAACCAAGTAAGAATCAAAGGGCTTCCTGGGTGCCTGGAACAGCAGCCACCGGTCCAGCATTGGTGATTGCATTGCATTGTGAAATGCGAAGAAGTCAAGTTAAGACATAAAGCATCTATGATGGGAATAAACAGATTCATGCTCCTTCACCCCCACCCGCCAGGACCTGACTCACTGCCAGTGTTTGGAATTTGCTTGGTACCTCTCAAGGAGGCTTTCTCCAAGCTTCACCACTTAGCCAGTGTCCAAAGCAATAGCTTTGACAAAGGGTCAAAAGTGAAACGGGCATTTTCAAATGTTGGTTCAATTTGAAGTTTGGAGTGAATTAAACTTCCCCAAAATACCTCATAATCCTCAATCAGCTATTGCTGATCTTTCATCTGCCTCCTTCTTTCCTCTTACCGTCCACTTTGCATTACACGTCTCTCCCTCTGAGTCTCTCAACCATGTCTCTCCCTTTCTTTCCACTGCTTACCTCACCTCCTGCTGATGTTTTCAGCTGGAGCTGCTTATTCTGGCTTGTAAACCAATTGTTAAATTTTCTAGAACTTTTGCTGGAAGATTGTTAAGTGTGTCAGTAGATTGAAATGGACCATAGTGGGAGGACTTATGCCACTGCAATCAGCATATGCTACAGATAGGTGTAGTTTTGGGTGGGGTTCTTTTTGGTGTTGGGGGTTTTTGGGGAGACCTGGTTGTTGAACATTTACCAGTGCATCACTGGCTATTTTCTGGCCCTTTCCATCTGGACATGGTTGTCTTGGTTCTTCTGGCCACCCCTTCATGACCATCTACCTTCTTTCTGTCCCAGTCTTGCATTTCTGCCTCTCCCATTTTCCCCCCACAGGTAAGTCCTTAAATAAAATACTGATGAATCCAGAGAAGTGTAGTATCTAATGATTCCTATTAAACTGCATTTCTAGAGATAAGCATCAGGTCATCATTGGAGATGAAAATCACCTTATGCTCATAATCAATGCCAGAAACGAAGGAGAAGGAGCCTATGAAGCTGAACTCTTTGTGCTGATTCCAGAAGAGGCAGATTATGTGGGGATTGAGCGCAGCAACAAGGTAATGCCTACCGATTGTTTGAAGAAGTAAAGAGCTAGGCATATTTTGGAAGTCAAGTCAATGTTAAGTAGAGCCATCACAGGTGAGAGTTTCTTCCAAAATGAAAGAGAACAAAGTGGCACTTTACTTTGTTAATCATAATCGCAATAAGCCAGGAAGGGGGACGATCTTGGATAGTATTAAGATCTTTGTTGGCCACAGTACAGAAGCAAACTGGCCAGTGTTTGAGGGCTGAAGCAAGAAAGAGAATACAACTGGCTGAGAACAGCAGCTTACCAACTGATGGATCTATCAGCTAAATTCACAAGCTGACTCCCACCCTGGCTGACTGTTTTCAGGCCTTTGTTTTGAGTTCCTTTAAGTTTCAAGTAGGTCTCAGGAGGTCTGGTTCTCATTATTGCTCTTGCAGGAAGGTCCAGCCAATCTCAGCTGAGCACTGATAACAACCTAGACAGGCACTGGAAAGGAAACACATTCATTTTTCTTTCTTCATGGTCCACCTTTTCAGGACTGGGACCAAGAAAAACCAGGCCTCCGTCCTTTGCCAGACCTGCAATGCCACTGTTTATTAAACTGACATGGATGCTTTTTATAGCCTTTCCTTCTTTATCAGAACATGAATCTTCCCATTCAGGGTATCCAAAGGTTCTGCTGTGTTTATAAGCATTTGGTCTCAAGAAACATTACCAACACATTGTAGGATAATGGAGAGAGTCCCTCATTTTCAGAAATATGCGGACTCACAATTAAGGGCAGAGACCCACTGTAACATTTTCTCATAGTCGTCACGGCGTTTCACATGGAGCTAGGCACATTGGGTGCCTCTTAACAACTCACGGATGGGTCTGCTCATTGGACTACGATTTATTAAATGCATGTGAGTTTCCACATACTGCATATTCTGAGAAGTTTGAACATGCTAATGATTAAATAACTTAATGAAAAATAATCTCTAAAGAGATGTTAACCAACTGTTGTAATATTGCTATTTTATAAACATTGAACAATATCAAGAATATAAAATTCTGTCTTCAAACCTCTAGTCTCATGGTTCATGTTTTGGTTAAATTATCTTCTTGATAAAAAATATATAAATCAGACCAACTGTACTTGAACAACAATAAAAAATGTAAAAAAAACCCTAAATAAATAAATCTGGGTAGGTCATAATCATGTATGTTTGACAATTATAAAATCATTACAAGTTTCTGTGGAAGAAATTCACAGAAAAATATCACGTATAAATTCTTCCATGCAGATAATACACAAACTAACCAAACAATGAGCTCCAGTGTGTCATTTTTAAACATTCCAGTTCTCCTCTCATTTCTGTTTCAATTCCCTTCAGGCCTCTCCTTCTCTGACTTTGTTGAACAGAGTGTCTATGCTAAAATGTTTTTCTTTTAGCAAAATATCCAGTTTACTGCTCACTTTGTGGCGTGGAAGACATGGGAGAGCATTCACCATTTCTGTCTTTGGCTGTACGTGTCACAACAGACATTACCCCCAATCTCAGACGAGTCCTCCGCTCTTCTCCCGCCAGTTTCCCGGGGCAGAGACTTCGCTCAGACTGAGCCACACTCAATTTCTTGTTTGTTTCTGAGCAATTGAGGATTGCGTATCTTTTTATTTAGACTCAGTTCAAGTTTTTTTAAACAATTTTTCTCCAGGGGATAGGTATTAGGATTATCTAATTGTAAGTGCTGTTATTGATTTGTTGAAAACATTCATCTTTTCAAAAATGTAGGTGGAGATTCTTTCTTTCTCTGAAAACATTATGGGAGACAGCCTTTATACTTCCTTTTGGTGACTTTCCTTCTAAATTTTTCTAGGAATAAAGACCTATGTGCTTTACCTTTTTATTACATGTATTGTTATTATTATTATTATTATTATTGTAGTAGTAAGTTATGTGTAATGTAAAATTTACCATTTTTAATTTGTTTTTTATTTGAATTTATTCATTGGTTCATAAAACCATACGGGTTTCAGGTGTACAACTCATGTCATGTGCACACCGCACGGTACAGTGGCATAAAGCACATTCACACTGTTGTGCAACCATCGCCACTGTCCCTCCACAGAACTCCCTTCATCTTGCAAAACTGACACTCTGCACATGTTTCACTAACTCCCAATTTCACTTCTCCCCAGCCCCTGGTAACTACCACTCAACCCGCCATCTCCATGAATTTGGCAATTCGAGGTGCCTCGTATACTCCACTCCACTCCTCTGTCTCACAATCACCTCGCGTTTGGCGTGTCCAGAACAAGACTTCATTGTCTTCCTACATTCACATTCCTCCTTCCTCCTCCATTTCCTATCACAGAGAAAGACACCAGCATCCACCTACTTCCTGAAGCCTGAGTTAGTCCCAGATCTCTCCAGTCCACTCCCTCTCTCCTTTTGACTGACACTGTCACGGCCTTCATCCAGACTGGCATGGCCTTTTTCTGAAATGACTGTAACAGTGTCTTAATTCATCTTCCTGCCCCCAGTCCCTTCCTCTGCAAAGGGAGCCACCTTTCTAAAGATGCAAATCTGACTAGTCACTTACATGCTTAAAACCCGTACTAGCTCTCCCTTGCTTTTAGGATCAAGTCCAAATTCTTGAGATGACTAACAAGGCCCCTAATTATATCACCCCTAAATTATATACCTATTTAGCCTCATTACTAGTCATTGCTTCTCTCCTTTAGTCCACACCTTAAATTCCAGAGAAACGGAGTTTCTTTCCAGTTCCTGTAATAACCCCGCATGCTCTCACCACAGAGAGCTTGTATCTGCAGTTCCTTCTAACTGTTCCCTCTTCCCCTTTATCCAGTTTACTTCTTTCTCCTCATCCTTTAGGCCTCAGCTTAGTAATGACTGAGACTGCTAACATTTCTTTCACAGTTGCTATGGGTTGGGCACTACTCTGTGCTCCTGAATATATTTAATTCACTTAATGCTCATTACAGCTTTATGGAGAAATGGCCAGATTTTCATCATTTCCATTTTACAGATAAGGAGAAATGCAGTAACACACCCAGAGTTACACAGCTGTTATATAGCAGAACTCAGATGGAAACCTCGGCCATTAGGTCCAGGCCCTTGTTCATAACCACTGATCTGCACTGCCTCCCATCAGCTTCGGTGTTCCTTCCTTCGGGATGCCTTTTCTGGTGCATGTCCTCCTCCACCACTACGGATCTCTCCTGAAGAAACTTAACCATCTATGTTCATTGTGTTTCCTTTGCTTGTTACAATAGAGTTGCTTGCGATCACATACTGCAGTTGTTGATGATAATTGGAAATTCAGTGAGGGCAAGGGGTACACAGTAAATATTTTCAGTGAATGAACAAATGCATGAATGATCCTAAGAGCTATAAATGGATTCGAACAAGAGTGTTCCTGGAACAGCGGAGGAAAAGAACCTAGAAATATCTAGAAAAACAGTTATTGTTTCTCTCACCCCGAGAGGAAATAAAGGTTAAAAAAAGAAAAAGGGTGGCAGACCTGGGGAGAGAGGAGAACTGATTGATGTGGAAAAGCTATTTCTAGGAAGCTAGAAAAAAATGTACACGTAACTTTTAACCTTTAGATAAGATAAAAATATTTACATAGAAACTAAATCCTTGAATTATATTCAGGGGATATGTGGACTTCTTTTTAAAAGCTTTTGCTGTTTTTTTTTCCTGTTTTCAGGGTTGAATGAATAATCTCAGCACAAAACATCTCTGTACAATTAGAGTTAGTTATGAATTCTTAAACTGAAGTATGTGCTAAAGGTATCTTTGAGAAGAGAGAATATTACCAGCTTTTTGAAGATATGTTTCGGTGAAGGGATAAAGAAAAAAACCCTCATGGACAGAGAACAGAATGTGATTACCAGAGGGAAAGGGGGTAAATGTTGGTGGACAGAGTCTTGACTTGGGATGCTGAACACACAATGCAATATACAGATGATGTGTTATCGAACTGCACCTGAAACCTGTATCATTTTATTAACCAATGTCATCCTACTAAAATCAATTGCTAAAAAATGTTTCTTAGTTCCATCAGGAGACTGACATGTCATTCATTTCGTGTTTAGAAAGAGTGTGCATTAAATAATGCCTCCAAATATTCGTGATTCTCCCCTTTCTCATTACTTGGGACAGACCTGAAATGGGTGCTATCGGAAGGGGAATTGAGGGTTGGTTCTGTGTTTGTCTCTTTCCCTGAAGGCTCCGCCTTAGGGAAGAGTGTGAGTTACTTCTGCCCTGTGTCTCCCAATACCTCCTTTGTGCCAGACTGCTTGGAGGCACTGGCAAAAGAACAGATGCAAAAGCCTCTTCCCTTGGATACTTCTTTTCTCAAAGCACATGATGATCTACCTACAGAATGTTTTACCAAGATATCAGGAATGTATCTGGCTTTTCAGGTTTTGGTTTTGAATCTTGGTTTTTCTAAATAAAGCGGAAAGGGTGGAGTGGAGGATGGTTTCTGAAACTTTTACTTGGAAATTCACTCTACTTCCTTACCTGAAATTTCAATGGAGCTGAAGGATGGGTAAATAGTCCCCACATTAGGAACCCTCTCCATGCACCTCTTATGGAGCACAGACTCCCAAAGGTTGCCCCTTTGTGAATGCCCTCATTTTGTAAGCTGCTCTTTGGGAATGAGGGTTATAGGTGGGTGGGTTATAGGTTTTTTTTCTGAGAAGTTTAATTTTTACTTCTCAATTACAGTTTATTTTCACCATTATTTTGTATTGGTTTCGGGAGTATAGCATAGTGGTTAGACAACCATATACTTCACGTAGAGTTCCCCTCGATATTTCCAGTACCCACCTGGCACCATGCATAGTTATTGCAATATTATTGACTATATTCCCTAGGCTGTACTTTCCATCCTCATGACTATTTTGTGACTACCAGTTTGTACTTCTTGATCCCGTCACCTCTTTCTCACAGGTGATATATTAGTAGCATTAATAAGTTAGAGTGAAATAATGGGTGAGTGTAGGTAGCCATCACCAAAGGCAGAGCAGGGCAGTAGGGACTTTATGTTCTGAAATATGGAAAAGGCTCAGGTAGAGAACAAGGGGTGGATTTCTAGGCAGCTGGGAGTAACACGGGGACACGAGGTAGAGCTGCGAGCAGAGAACATGAGCTCAAAGATAAACCTCATTTTCTTTCCCCCGTTCTCTGGTGTAACCTGGAGACCTTCTCCAATCCATAGTTCCAAGTACATCTTCAAACCTGAGTTTTTGTACATTCTAATCAGAGTGAGAGGTAGGGGAGAGAAGGGAGAGGGGGACCACCGGGTAAACACGAAAGTGCTCTCTTTCCATCATAACTATTTGGAGGATTAAACTAAGTCTGATGGTATAATCTCAAAATGGGACCGTGATGTGTAGAAATTGGTGTTCAAAGCAATTCTCCTGCAAATGGTCATTAAGTCATGTGATCTTCTGTACAAAGTACTGTCATTTTATTTTTGCAAGAATAAATTTCTTTAGTTGTGATGAATTATCTGTGATCTTTGTGGCTCAAATTTAACACTAACATTAATGAAAATAATATCTAAAATATTTGCATAAATACTGTAGGAAGCATTGTTTTCTCAAGGATTAACACAATAAATATGTTTACCAATCTAAAATGTTTCTTTCTAACATTAAACTTCAATCTTTTCTCTCCAGTTTTTCTTCTGAGTTGATGGTCACAAATGAATTCCTGGGCCCATTTACCCACACAGGTGTTTGAAATCAAGACGAGCCTCCCACCCACAGCACTACTTTTGTGACAGGGTGTAATTTATTCTGCCCCCTGAACTCCACTCTGGTGTTCTTTCCTGTTGCAGGGATTCCGACCCCTGAGCTGTGAGTACAAGATGGAAAATGTAACCAGAATGGTGGTGTGTGACCTTGGGAACCCGATGGTGGCTGGAACAAATGTAAGAGAAAACCAGAAGCTCTTACTGATTTCTGTCTAATTGAATTTTAAAGGGAACTAATGGAAAGCTCCTCAATTAGCACTCAGCAATTTAGCACGTAGCAATTAAAACAAATTAGGCAGGAAATTACCAGGGTAGTGGGATTTAGCATTATTAGTGACACAGTGGATAGTACAAGGTTAAAAACACAAGAAGATGAATACTTTTGTATGCTTTCTCTTTGGACATTATACTTATATGTCTTTTAGTCACAACAGATCTATGAATACTATTCTTTTTACTATGGCTTTTTTTTTGTTGACTATTTTTTCCTTGAATTTACTACAACTTTTTTTCTTTGAATTTAAAAACAAATGCAATTAAGTAAAGGATTTATGAAGAACACTTAAAATTTTTTTAGCAAAGATGATTAAATTTTTATTTCCAATATACCTCTCATATGAATATTATGCACAGTATTTTCATATTAAAATATTATAATAATTCAGCTAAATCAGCTTTACCAGGTATTACTTGAAGAGCTGGTACCTTACTTGAAGAATAAGAAAGTAAAGTGTAGCAAGAAAAAGAAAGGGTTAATAATGACCTGTGACATGCTTACAAAGGAATAAGGAGTTGGGTCTTTGCCTCTCCTCCTCCTACTCCTCCTCCTCCCCTCCCCCCACCTCCCCCTCTTCCTCTGTCTCCGCCTCCTTTACCAGCTCCTCCTCCTCCTTTTTCTTTCTTTGTCTCCAGATTTAAGCACTTCCCGTTCAGCATTACTTGTGGACAATACATTTATTTTATGCAATTGCCATTTACATATACATGTAGGAACGTCTTGTAATAAATATCACAGTAGAAATAATTATTTTTTGAAGTCAGAAAAAAATTCTAAAATCTACAAATACTATATATAATTAAATGTTACATAAACTAAACATATACATTCATTCCACTTATTTTAAATTAAATGTTTATGATTATCAATAAAAAGGCTCGTTTGAAAAAATTCATGAAAATCTATCATTGACTAGGTCTTTATTAGAGCAACTTCCCAAATTATATTCCAGACAGTGCTAGTTCCTTGAGCTGGGCCTTCCGAGGAGAGTTGCGTGGTCCCTGCTGAGAATCACCCTCTGGGACACTCCGGTGCAGTTTGCACTGTGACTGAGAACCGAGAAGTGCTGCCAGAGACAAGGCTGTTAGCTCAGTGTCTCACCCATGTATCTGAGCATCTGAAACTTCCAATCAGTAAATACCTCCTCCCAATTTCTATTTTAGGATATTGTGCTAGGATAATATTTTTGCTTTTTTACACTATAAAAACAACAACAACACTATACTATTGATCCTGAATAGTTAAAAAAGATACCAAGCTATAATCCAGTGAACTCACGCCTTGGTTCAGAAAAAGTAAATATTTAAATGAAAGTTAAACTTTTATAACAGTTTTTATTAGCTAGGTGTTGATGGCCATCTGTGGTACAAACCCATTACTGGGTTCTTTTTTAACATTTTCATTTAATTTTCACAACAAGCAACCACTCTGAGAGTCAGGTATTTCTGCTGTGTTATGAATGAGAACAGTGAGACTCAGGGAAGTCAATGACATGCCCAGAGTCGCACAGGGAATGACGGACAGACCCAAGATTTGAACCAGGCCCGAATACATCCCGTCTGCAAAATTGTGATTAGTATTCAGATGAAAACTAATGGGTAACAGATGAGATATTTAAATGAGGCCATGAAAGATAAGATGGAAGTCTCAGCTGAGCTATTTGAACATTTTTCATTGGAACCCTTTCATGAAGAAGCTAATAAATCCTTTTGCTAGTTTTCAGCAAAAATCCAGCCACCTAATTTGATAGGAAGAGTTCTCCCTAAGGCCAAAGAGAAGTGAATTGGCATGGTAGCATTGGTGTGAGCCTATGTAGACAACTGGGCACTATCCCTTCTTCTGTAGTAAGTGTTCGATCTAGACCAGAGATCAGTTGAGCTCACCAATAACTAAGAATATTTATGGAGCAAAAACTGGCCACCAGAGTCACTCAAAGTGGAAGGTAAAATGTGTTTATGTGAAACAATGTCAATCCGTTTTGCCAGCAAGTAATCCTTAGAAGTCGAGGAAGTAAATTGTTTCTATTTCTTTATCTCTGAGGTCTATAGTGACAGAAACCTAATAGCTTTCTTATCTCACCCTTTAAGGCCCTTAAACACATCCAATTTTAATTTATTGCATTCTGTTTTGTCATAAACACTTTGATTTATTTACTTCATTTTGTACTTTAAAAAAGGATACTCTCAGTGGATTGTAGTAAAATTCTAAATGTAAAAGTAGTTCTAAATATTAAAAAGCATTATAAATCTTCAGGAACATCTATTCCAGTCCCAGTAGTTTTAAAAAATAGTTTTCAAGTGACTTTGTGTTTTAATTTAACAAAACATTGAAGGCAGCATTCAGAACTGTTGCTTCTGATTTGTAAGTAGTAATGCCATTTTCATAGAATAGCTATAGTAATATAAAATATTTATATGCCAGTAAGGTTCGTAAAAACTTGCAAAATCTTTCAAGCAGGAAAATAAGAAAATAGTGGTCAGCAAAGGTGCCCCAGAGTCAATGCGCAGAGAGCTGATGTTTGGGTCCAGTTAAGAACACATGCACCTCTCACTGGTACAGACGTGCCACACCTTTGTGTCTTCGCCCTGTGCTGGATTGTTCTGTGATGAAAACCGGCCACGTTAGGCAGGCTTCCTCACCATGTGGGAAGGTCCCCATCACTGGGCATGTACAAACAATGACATATTCTTCCTCATCATCTTTTTTGATGAATAAGTAATCATTTTTATTGCCACCCCTTCCATATGCTGGGTACCAAGTTGGAGTCTGACAATAGCAAGATGAAAATATACAACACCCATTCAAGAAGAAACTCAAAATTAGCAATGTCATAGGTTGAGTGATAGGAGAGGAGCAAAGAAAGAGAGAGGAAATAGAGAAAATTTCTGCCTGGCCCGGCCTGTGGCATCAATCAGAGGATGAGTTGCAGGCGGTATCTCTTATCCTGAGCTTTGAAGCAGTAGCAGGGGTTCTCCAAGTACAAAAAGTAGAGAAAGGTTTATAAGGTTGCCAAAGAAGAGAGAAAAGCATGTGCAAAGGCCCAGAGGTCTGACATAAAATTGCACATTTGGAATAATAAAGGTATTCAACATAGCTGGGGCAAACGGTGTGTAGGCTTAATAATTAGACACACCTGAGTTTCAGTCCCAGCTTTGCCATTTATCAGCTGATGCCTCAGGCAAGTCATGTTGAAATGGGAGAATAGATGTTTGCAGGAATGTTTGGAGTAGTGCAATGGTATGATATAAGCACTAGTGGCTTTATACGAGGGCAGTACCTGACTAGCAGCCTATTCAGTAAGGGCTAGTAAAATGATGATTTCTGATGAAAATGATAATTTGTTATTGGTTCATATTTTACTGGTTCATGTTAATGTGAGTTTTGAACTACACATTGATTCTCACAGGGTAGTGGCAGGTTCTGGAGTTGGCTTAGAGGGATTTCGATTCCAGCTCTGCAGGTTGTCTGCTTTGTGCCTGCAGCAAGTGACTTATCTGTCTGCTCCTCGGCGGGCTGCTGGGCTGAAAAATGTCAGCAATCACAGCACCTGCCTTTGAGTGTGGTTGTTGAGATTCCATGAGACAAAGATTCGTGTTAGGCTTAGTACAGTGCGTGAGAAAAGAAATAATAACGTTATGTGTCTTAGCGATTGTTTTTACTTCCCTACTTATATTATCATTAGATTTATCTTTCTCCAAGTTTTTAAAATCTGATTTCCAAATTACAAAGATAGTAAGAGAGTTGTAAAACTTTGGAAAGTAAAGGTGGAAAAAATAACCCACATATTTGTAACCTTAACTATAGTATATTACTCTGGTATATTTTCTTATGATACACCTTCATTCCCATACAATAACCTTTCCATTGGCAGACGTTTAAAACCATAGCTGAAACACATCACACATACAGCATCACATCCTTTCTTCTTCATTGATCTTCATCATATCAGAAGCATTTTCCACATTGTTGCATAGGCTTCATAGCCGTAATTTCAATGACCACATAACTGTCCATCATAAAGAAACATCACAGTTTTCCAAATCAATCTCCTCTCATATATTTAGGTTGTGTGTAAGTTGGCACACAAGGAAGGTGTGAGGAGAAGGGTTGGTATGGGGCTAAAGGAAGAGAGGAAACCAAACTGTGTAGGGACCGGAATCGTCAAGGGCCCGACAGTCCCAGTTGCGTGACTTCCTCTCGGCTCTCAGCCTCCAGAGTGGAAGCAGGAACAGGAACCGCAGTGGGGTGGGGTTTTGCAGAGGGGCTTTAAAAGGTTTCTATGCTGTGTATAAGGTTCCTCCCATGTAATAATGTAGTATCTTGTGTGTGTGTGTGTGTGTTTTATTTTTCATTTTAGTATTCTCTGGGCCTCCGATTTGCAGTTCCACGTCTTGAGAAAACAAACATGAGCATTAACTTTGATCTCCAAATCAGAAGGTTAGACCTCTAAATGCCTAATACTCAATGTTAAAGAGACCCATAGTGAAATGAATGCTATTTGTCAGGCTGCACCTTAAAAGTTCCTCTGAAATTAGAAGCCAGACTCTGACAGTCCATTTTCCCTTTGTTTTTATCAGTTATTACAGTGTTTTCAGTATTTTTGGTTCTGAAAAAGAGTTGCATTCCATAGGCCAAGTTATGAGAGTGACATTTTGTGCTGGGCACCGTCCCACCCCCTTCACCTCCATTCTCCCTCATTCCGATGCACAAGCCTTCTGCCATGCCCACCCCCTCTACATCCCACCATGCTCTCAGGTGGGGGCCAACGAATCCCTAAGAACAAGATTTCAGCAAAAAGCATAGATTTTTGTATTATAAACCTTGAAATCTTCAAACTTTTCAAGAATGAATGAGTCTCTGATGTTTTAATGTGCGTACCAAGGCGAGATGCAGGTAAGATCATATACAGGGTGGGGCAAAGTAGGTTTACAGTTGTGAGTACGTGAAACACAGAGCTTAGCCTTATATTATGGTTTACTAATTTTTGTATTATTTTCTATACAAATGACTGTAAACCTACTTTTGCCCCACCCCGCATTCAAAGAGCAGGGCCTTCTCTGGAACTATAAGCTGAGTCGTATGTATAGCTGCCCCCTTTTTCAGAGACTGATCCTGTTCAGGGATTCAAGTGTGACTTCACCCTTTCACTATCTATTCTGTTTGCTCCTTCATGGCCGAAAATCCTGTTTCATGAGTGGGAAGACCTGTAGAAAGCTGTCCATGAGGTCCAGCGGGCCCCAGCTATAGACTGCAGCCCACTATCCAGTAATGGAATCAATTTGATGACTCTACAGACTCATAATAAAAGAAAAGGCAATTGATGGAATGTAATACATCAGAGTTCTATTCATGAAACATCTCTTTCAGATAGATGTAAATACATAGTAAGACATCCTGGGAGATATATATATTATTTTGTGGTCTGCAATTTTAAATGTTTGAAAAACGCTGATGTGGACAGCACATACAGGCCTTCCATAATAATTTATAACTCACCCAGCATGTGCTAATATGAAAGTGACCCTGAGTCAGTATCTGTGATTTGGTTTCCAATACTAGTGTGCGGTGTGGCTAGTCTCCAAATGCACCTTCTGTGCAAGAAGATATCATTGTAGTGTGAAGACTTCTAAAAAAATTATTTTGCACAATGGATTATTTTTAATAGCTGCTTAATTAGAAGTTTAGGATTAAAAAAAGTTATAGACTCTATAAGAATGTAGATTTCAGAAAATCTGCAACCTATGTCACAAACCATATCTCCCACACTTTATGCTGTCTTTCTAGGGAGAAAGGTTTTCTAACTTACTTTTGGTATCTTTTTCTGACTGTAATTAGGTCTTTTTAAATTTAACTTAAATATTTCCTGCTGAACCTTAGAGACTTTAAAAAAATTCACCCAAATTGGTGTGGATGTAGATGGAATAAATTCTTGTGTAATATCCTTTCATGGCACCCAAAGCTTATTAAATAAATTTTTTCCTATCTACATAAATGTATATTTCCCAAGAAGTTTAGTTAGTCATAAACATTTCTATTTGGGTAATTTGTAAATATTTGAAAGTTTTCAGGGAAAAGGAAGGGAGGAAGAAAAGAGGGAGAGAGGGAGGGAGGGCGAGCGATCCATGGTGAAGGGCCACCACCACCACTCCCGACGGCAGGCCAGATTTCTCTCTCTCACGTCATCATCTGCGCCACGGATCCTATGGTGGCATGTAGCTTTGTGTCACTTGGGGAAAGATACCTCTTCCATACAATATGCTGCTTTATTTAGAAAGAAAGTCTGTTACAAAGGTACAAAGCAATTTCCTTGGTGTTTCCTCCTCACCTTTGACTGCAGTTGTGTGTAACAGAATAGATGCAATTTGCAATTCACTCAAGGAGCAGAGGATGCCAAATAATGTCCCTCTCCTTTCCCAGATCCATCCTGTAGCTCAACATTGAAATAATGAATTTGGCAATGAAGTGCTGAATATGATGGAATAGTCATTCTTCACACCCCTTCATCTAAAAGAATGGGCCATGATTATTTCATCCTTATATGCTATAGAACTTATGACTCTTCTACATTATCTTGAAAAATGTAAAAATGTAGACATGCAGAAAGCACTGGGGAGCCTACATAAAGCATCAAATTCCAGAAACACACGTTATAGAGACAAAAAGCATTTGAGAATACTTTTAATACTCAAATACGAAAGCATTTGAGAAGTGAGCATTTATCTGCATGCTTTTCTGGCAGACTCCAAAGATGTAAATAAGTATTTAATGGATGGTTTGAGTCCAGTTTAAATGTGTTTAAACCAAAAATAAACTAAACCAAATGCTCTGAAGTCTAAAGCTTTTGACCATATTGACCACTGTTACCCACATTTAATGCCCTTTGCCACAAATATAGAACCCAAAAGAAAACTAGGCTTTATAAATTAATAAACTTAAAGATATTTTGTGTTACCAAATGTTTATATTAAATGATGTCTCCATGCCTTGGCTCTGTGTGACATGTAAACATTTCCCTCCCTGTGCAGAGTGGGTCTCTGAGAATAGTTCCCATGTACAAACATGCCTCTGTGATCATTGCTGCAATCGCTCCCTCAGTAAAGGTGGAATGAACATTGTGTTGTCTTTGCTGATATTCCAAAGACTACAGGTAGCATAGAGGGATTGCTAGAATGTAGGAAATAGAACACAGTACAGAAAAAGAAAATTGCATTGGAATAAATGAAAAGTAAAAATCATGTTTATTCTTGGTGCATGACATAGGGTATAGTCACAGAGAGGAAATTCATCATTCCTTGCATAGAACTAGCACTGATGGTATAAATAGCTCAGCGTCCATGGCAAAGATGAATTGCTTGTTTGAATACAGCAGTGGTATTAGTGAGGGAGGCTCCCATCCAGGAAAGAGGTCAAAGAAGCATCTAAGTTACATATCAAGCCTGGTATCTTTCTCACCAGGAGATTCTGTCGACAGCACTGGCTGCAGTACCAAGTAGCATGGCAAGCTTGTGTGACAGGATGATTCTGGTTAGCCCACCAGGTCTAGCCTCCAAGTCTGCCTTTGTTTTTGTTACATTTCAAAACCGCCTTTGTAAGCCTCTTATTGGTCTCCAGTACCAAAAGGATTTCAGGGCTTAACATCTATTTATATTTTCAGGGTGTTGTGAGTAATGAAAATCGTGATATTTGAACTTTTAGAAACAAGATGCAATCGAATTATGGGATAACTCAAATGACACTCCCCCCACCCCATAATTCTAATTTCCACTGCCACAAAGCAGTAATGAGCTAGAAAATAGAACAAAGTCTGCTTAATCTGTGGAACAATTAGACTTAAATTTCCAAATTAAAGAGTTCCCCGTAATAGATTTGGAACCACAAAGTCTGCAGCAAGTGGAGTCACTTAATGACTTTTTAGTGGTTAGTAATTCAGAATCTTGCCTTAAAAAGAAAAGAAAACTTTTTAGTTGACTGATCCTCCCCAGATGTGATACTAGTAAAATCTCCTGGAAACGGGGGTTCAAACTTTGGTGAATGAGGCCCTCTAGGCCCATCACAGGCTTAGCAGTGGTACCCCTTTACAGGAAATGAGCCTGACATTTGCCTGTTTATATCTTTTATGTGTGTTTGCGGCTTAGGTTGCCTTATCAGTATATACAATCAAACAGGACTTTTCAAAAGCAATGTGGGAACAATTCCGTCTCCTCCTCCTTTGAAAGCAGACTTTTATCCTGTCTTTTCCAGCTTCCACATTTGGAACGCTTCAAAAGCTAATCAGAACATAGCCCATTACCATCATCACAGTGTTAGAGCCTGTCCACTGAGTCTGTGTGAGGTTCGATGAGAAGAGGAGAGGGCTTTCTCTTCCTAATGAGGCCTGAATATAAACATGATCTGTTATTAGTGGCAGTGTGGCCGGCCATGTCTCAGTTGGCTAAAAGCTGCACAGTCCTTTGGGATATTAGGGTGACTTTGATGAAAACATAGGACAGTAAATGCAAATGGTTTGCATCCAAAGCTCAGCTACTCTGGGTGAAGCCTCTCATGAGACATGTTCCATTTTCCTTACAGCATTGGCTCTTAACACATGCATTTTTTAAGTTAAATCTCTTATCTAATTATATCTGCTTGAGAGAAAGAAACAGCAAACTTGAACATGGTTTTGCCACCATGCAAATAAATATTAAACATGTACCTTCCATCTTCAGATTCTTGACACACAACAAACATCTGCATCATCTGCTCATTGCGCCTGCACAAACTGCCCAACTTTCTGTGATTGCATTTCTTCTCGTCATTGGCCATGCTACTACGTGCCCCTACCCCCACCCCAGTCAGCCAGTGAGCAGGCAGTGAATATACACTTCTTTTAATATTATTTAAGAAATAAGCCATCAGGAAGATAAATTTGCTGCCCAAACAATGTATGGTATGATGCATTCCAGAGCCAGACACAAATGCTTTTTCCATTATGTGCTGCTGCTCTTGGGTTATTCTTGCCAGTCTTCCTGTTTATAAGCATGGAAAAGCAGGAGTTGTCTGTGCTGTCCCTTTTCATTTGGTGGACAAGGAATATGATGCTCAGAGAAGTGAAGGAATGTGTCCAAGGTAGATGCAGGAAAATGAACTCAGCTCACTGGCTTTTTGATGGAGCCATTGAGACGAAAAAATGTCAGCTTCTCTAGATATCTATTGTGCTTCCTGAGAAGGTGTCACCTCATGGAAAGTTACATTCACTACTTTTGATCATTGTGGATCTTAGCATTTCCATTTATAAATGTTTATGATTTTATAGAATGGATATGCCATTGTTTTCTGAATGATCATGTTACTCGTGTGAAATACAGAATGTTTTTGTGATCATATATTATAGTGACACATATGAAAAACATATTTAAATCATATGCCATTGTGTTTTAGTTCCAACAAGGACAACCCAGACAGCAACTTTGTGAGCCTGCAAATCAACATCACTGCTGTCGCTCAAGTAGAAATCAGAGGGTAAGTAATAGACAAAGCATTGTGGTAGTTACACTACCTATAATAATAGGGTTCTGTATGTGAGAGTAGTGATAAATAACAGTAAAAACTATATGGTATTTTCCTAATGCATCTGTGATCACAGTTCACTTTGGTTATAAATTTTCCTTCTTTTCTACCCATCATTAGACTTCCATTGCAAAGTAGAATAAACCCTGTATGGCAATTAAGTCTAAGGATATCAAAACAAAGGCTCACTTGATTCCTCAAACTGACAGTTCAGTAATCAAACTATAAAAGCAAGTGATAAGACGGCGGATAAAGTAGACAACCGTGTGACTCTGAAAGTCTTCCTTCCCCAATACTTATTTGGGCATAATGAAAACTCAGCCTCCCCACACCACATCTTGAGGTTAAGAAATGGCTGACTCCTAGATGTGAGGGTTGATGGGGTCTACCTTTTATATCTCTTTCATTCTCTCCTATTCTTTGAAGAAGGCGCCAATAAGCAATTAATCAAGAGACAGGAGGAAAATAGTCAAGGAAAAGGCTTGGAATAACTACCATCTGGGAAATTCACGCCTGGAAGAAAAAAAGTCAGAAGTGGACTGCATGTAGTTCTTGTCTTACACAAGTGTGGACTTCATTAACTTTAATTCTTGTTTCTCCAGAACAATGAAGGACTTGGCTAAAAATGTCCTTTGGCCTCAGCTGTCACTGGGGCTTCAGCAAGCCCAGCTCCTGTTTCTTTTTCCACAGTTCTTGAGAGGTTCGCATTCCTCCATAACGGCAACTTTAGATTTCTCCACTCACAGCCAGTCACCATGTAGTTTCTTACTGCTGCCCACTGCTGCTCTCAAAGAAGGGGGGTAAATACCTGCTATCCTGGCACCACTGAAGCTCCACCTAGTGGATTAGAGAATAATCATAAAGCCTAACATTTATTGATATTTTCATGAGCTGCCCCACCATGTTAGGACATCTTAATAAGTCCTAGAGTTCTTGCTGTACAGGTGGGGGAGTTTGTGCACAAACAGTTAAAGGCTGCACAGCTCGGAAGTGGGGGCTGGAATATAAATACAGGCAGCCTGTCTTCAGGTGCATGTTTAATTTTTTATTATTTATTGATTTTTTAAGAGAGACCTTGATTTGTTGTTCCACTCAGTTATGCTTTCATTGGTTGATTCTTGTATGTGCCCTGACTGGGGATTGAACCCACAACCTTGGTGTATCGGGATGATGTTCTAACCAACTGCACTACCCCAGCCAAGACTCCAGGTGCATGTTTATAAATGATTAGCTGTAAGACCTATGAGATACAGTTTTTGGACCTTATCTACACAAAATCTCATGTATGCTTCTGTGGGTTTTTAAAATACAAATGAGCATATTTCACATTCACCCACTTTAGTCCATGTATCTATATTGTTCATTCATTTCAATTGCAGAAGAGTATAATATTGTAAAACTGTACCATAACTTATTTATCCGTTCTACTCTTGATGAATATTTGGGGTTTTTCTTGCTTTTTTTTTTTTACAAACTTTCTTGTGCGTGTCTCCTGATACACACGTGGGTGACTGTCAGAATGGTATATGCACAGATGTGGAATTTCAGGATCAGAGAGTATACACTATTTAGTTTTACTAAGTACTGCTGAGCTGTTTTTCAAAATAGTTCTACCATTACAATCCCACAAGAAATGGATAAAAGTTTCCATTGCTCCACACTATTCACGAACTCTCAAACTGGTCCAATTTTAAATTTTGGGCCAATCTTATGGTTAAGAAATAATATCTAACTGAAGGTTTCATTTGCAGTTTCCTGATTTCTAAATAAGATTTAACAGCTTTTTTGCACATTTTTTTCCCCATATTTCTTATTCAGGGAAATTTATGTTCATTTTTTTTGCACATGTTTATATTGAGGTTTAACTTTTTCCTGTTAGGTCCTTTTATATTCTACTGTTTAGATACTAATTCTTCATCAGTTACACATTTTGCAAAATATCTTTTCATAGTCTATAGGTTGGGTGGTTTGTTTTTTTTTTTAGGCCAGACTTATTGTGGTATATATTACATAAAGTAAAACTCACCCATTTTAGGTGTCCAGTTTGAAGAGTTGTGATACTGCAAGAACATTCAATACAAAATAGCTCCAACACCCCAGATATTCAATAGTTCCTTCATGTGCCTTTGTAGTCAATCCCTCCTCCAACTACAGGCCCTGGGCAACCTTGACTTTATGGTGGCTATAGTTTTGTCTTTCCAGAAAATCATATAAATACACAATGTAGTCTTTTGAGTCTGGTGTCTTTCACTCAGCATAGTGCATTTGAAAAAAAATTATGTTCTTACACATGTCAAGGATTTGTTTCTTTCTATTACAAAGTATTCTACTGTGTGGGTATCCTATGAATTGTTCAATCATTTTTGAGTTGGTGAATATTTGTATTATTTCTAATTTGGGGCTATTAATAACATACCTGCTATAGGTATTCACATACAGGTCTTTATTGGGACATTGTTTTACAAATTGAGTTAATGAGTTGTATGGCAAGTATACGTTTAACTTTGTAAGAAACTGGAGAACTGTTTTCCCAAGTGGCTGCACCATTTCCATGTTGTATTCCCACCAGCAAAGTATGGGCATTCCCATTGCGATGCGTTCTCACCAGCATGTGCCTGAGGTTTCTTTGTTTTTAGCCATTCTAATAAATGTGTACAAATAGCTCAATGAAGTTTTAATTAGCATTTGCTAATGTTCAGTGATACTGAGCTTCTGTTCACTGCCTATTTGCCATCAGTATCTCTTTTGTGGTGAAATGTTTCCTTAAATTTTTACCCATCTACTATTGGGTTGTTGGTCTTATTTTCAAGTTGTAAAAGTTCTTCATATATTCTGAATACAAAATTATTTATCAGATAAAGGTCCTCCAGAGGTTTTCTCCCAGTTTGTGGCTTGGCTTGTTATTTTCTTAACACTGATGTCCAAAGAACAGAAACTTTCAATTTTGATGAAATCTAACTTTTAAATATTTTATAGTCTGTATTCATTTTGTTCTTTCTAAAAAATCTTTGCCTTATCCAAAGTCACAAGATTGTTTCCTGTGTTTTCTTCTGTAAGTTTTACACTTTATATGTTGGTCTATGAATAATTTTAACTTAATTTTTATATCTGGTGTGAGGTAAGGGTGAAGGTTCATTTTTGCATACTAAGATCCAGTGGTTGCTGGGCTATTTGTTGAAAAGACCATCCTTTTCCCATTCAATTACTTGATACCTTTGTTGCAAATTAATTGTGTATCTGCATGGGTCACTTTCTGGACCCCCTATTCTGTTTCAATGAGCCACATGCCTAATAAGTCCTGAAATACAGTAGTGTATCTTGAGGTCTTGGTAAACTCACAGATTCTAGTAGCTTCTTGTTTGTTGATATTCTAGGATCCTACAAAATTATCATGTTATCTGTGATTAAAGACAGTTTTATTTCTCCCTTTCTAATCTGTCTGTGGGAAAGTTTAGCCAACTACAAAGTTATAGGGGGAACAGTCCCCACAGGAGATCACCCTCACTTCTGACACCAGCCCAAATCTACCCTCAGGTTCAACAGTTCATTGAGAAGACTCACAGAACTCATTGAAAGCTTTATACTCATGGCACAATTTATCACAGAGAAAAGATAGAGATTAAAATTACTCAAGGGGAGAAGGTCCTAAGTCAGAGTCCAGGGAAGTACCAAGCACAGGGCTTCCGTTGTTTCTTCTGTAGGGATGTGTCACTTTCTCAGTATTGGTGTGTAACAGTATGTATGCAGTATGGTCAACCAGGAAAGCTCACCCAAGTGTCTGTTCAGTTTTTCAGGGGGCTTCATTCCATAGGCAGGACTAATTAAATGACCATTTAGTTGATCTCAGTCTCCAGGTCAACTGCTGTGATTTGACCAAACCTCCCATCCTAAATCACAGTGTTAGTTGTTTTGGTGTAGGCAATCCCCACCGTAAATCACATTGTTAGAATGTCTACTGTGACCCAAGCCCCCAGGCAAAGATACACCTTCCTCTCTGGCATAAAACATTGAGAGCTTAGAGGTTCGCTCTCAGATGCTGAGGACAAAGGCCAGACCTTTTCTGGAGCAAGGTTAAACTCCAAAAAGTTTATGCCTTTTCTTTCTTTTTCTTCTCTTACTGAGTAGAATAGGACCACCATTACAAGATTGACTCCATGTGGTAAAAGGAGACACCCCTCCCACCTTGGCTGGGGTGGCTCAGTTGCTTAGAACATGGTCCTGTAAATGAAGGGTTGCAGGTGTAATTCTGATCGGACATGTACCTAGGTTGCAGGTTTGATCCCCAGTCAGGGTGTGGTCTGGGCGTGTATAAATGGGAGGCAGCTGATCAATGCCTCTCTCTTGCATCCATGTTTCTCTCCCCCTTTCCTTTCTCTCTAAAAAAGCAATGAAAAACATATCCTTGGGTGAGGATAAAAAACATTTTAAAATAAAAATAAAGGAGGTGCCCTTCCCTTGTTCTTAGATTCTGCCTTGATCTTAAGAGGAAAACATTCAGTCTGTTACCATGAAGTCTGATGTTAGCTGCAGGGTTTTTGTAGATGCCTTTACCAAGTTGAGGATATCCTTTTTTCCCCCCCTAGATTTCTTGAGAATTTCTAACATGAATGTGTATTCACATTTTTGTCAAATGTGTTTTCTGTGTCTAAAAAGATAATTAAAATGGTTTCTCTTTTTTGTGCATTAAAGTGGTAACTTGATTAATTTTCTTTCTGCCTTTTAAGAAATTTCAGATTATTTTTTAAATTTATTTTTCAGTTATAGTTGGTATATAATATTACATTAGGTGCAAGTGTACAACATAGTGATTAGACAGTTATATAACTTATGAAGTAATCACTCCAGTAAGTCTTATATCCATCTGGCACATACATAGTTATCACAGTATTATTGACTGTTTCCATTGCTGTACATCCCCATGACTATTTTTATAACTGGAAATTTATACTTCT